TGGTGAGCGGAAAAAATGTGGTAGAAATGAATGATAGAAGAGACATTACTTGATTTTCAGATGCTCTATTTTAACTTTCAGTGTTTAATATATATTTATATTTTTCTAATTATATATTTGTTTTATTCTGTTTAATCTTTTTTTTTTGATTTTTTTTTTTTTCTATAATTATTATTTTTGTTTTTATCTAAAATTATTATCATGAACATACGTGTTTTATTATATTTTGCTTTTGGATAATTTTCCTTATACTTGTAAATGTATACTTTTCGTTATGTAAATAAAAAGAAATGATTGTTAATAATTTGGTTTCAATTAATAAAATATTTCGTTTTTTAAATCTATATCATATTTAAGCTTTTAATGTGAACTATAATAAAAAAAAAAAAATTCTCTCATCGAGTTTTTTACAATGTGAAATTGACCATCAAAGTAAAAACAAAAGTAAAATATATGAAATTTATATATATTATATAAATATGCCTGGTCATATTTTGTTATATTTCGGTCCAAATTATATTAATAAACAATTAATGCATTCAAAAAATATTCGCATTGTTACTCAAATGAGATGTAGAACGTTAATAGGATTATTAAATAGTCAATATAAAGTCATTAATAGTAATAGACAATATAAGTCATATAAATAATCATGTAAATTTATAAAATTAATCTTATTATATAATAAAACATTGAAAAATTAGACAATGTTGGAAAAATAACTTGACGACGTTATTCTCGAAAAATTATTCGCGAAGAATAAGAAAAAAAGAGAAAAAATGTTTAGCATACCGTGAATGTTTAAAAATGTTTGTCAATAATGCTAATTGTCGTTAGCGTTTTTCGATTTAAAACTAGAAAATTTGATCAAATCTGCTTAGAGATATTTAAAAAACACTTTTAAAAATTTTGTTGAAATCTGTTTATTTTTTACTGATTTATGAGCCTTTTTGCTTTTTTTATTTCCACGTGCATAGTTTTTAGTAAGATATGATTTTGCTTTTTGCATGTCAATTTATGTTAGTTAGGTAGTTTTTATTAAAAACACGTCATTTAAAGATTGTATATATGATTATTAAATTTTCTTTCGTCTACCTGTTGTTTTGAATAATAATAAGTAGATTATAATGAAGTATAATTGTGAAAACACATAAGTAATTTTGTTGTCATAATATTATTTTTCCATTATTATTATTTAATTTACAAGTGGGAATAATTTTCTGGTAAACTGCTTTTGGAGTTTTAATAATGTCGTACGTCGGTAGTGCCCCAACGTAGATACAAAAGTTTTATACAAATTAATTAATGTTTATATATATATATATATATTGACAACGAGTTATATATTGCACAATTAGCAGGATTATAGTATTCGGCGTGTTAGTTGCTCCTCCTGAAGTAATGCCTCACGGCAGTTCCAGGGCGGCCCACAATAATGCCGGTCGATTAAAAAAAAAAANATAATCATGTAAATTGTTACGAATAATTGGAAAAATAGAAATAATTTTCCATACTTATTGAATATTTGTATAATATTTGAATGGGTGGTAGATATTTTATTTTTTTGATCATTATGGATATATTATTTTAATTCCCACAAATAGAAGTTTAGATAGTAAAACTAATCGATAACGTACCATCTATATCAAAATATTTAATGTAAATTGTTTGTTATTGACAAATGACTTACTGAACACTCTGTATATATATATATTGACGACGAGTTATATATTGCACAATTAGCAGGATTTTAGTATTCGGCGAGTTAGTTGCTCCTCCTGAATTAATTCCTCACGGCAGTTCCAGGGCGGCCCACAATAATTTCGGTCGATTAAAAAAAAAAAAAAAAGGTTAGTTGCTCCTGGTTACCCACATGTTGATTTGTAGTTCGGCGATTCTTCTGTGAAGAGTCAGCAGTTCACGTTCTTGTTGGACAGGTTCGTCCTAATTTCATTATTTTGTGGTGTTTGAATGTTTTTATCCATATAGTTCCCACGAGTAGTCGAGTAATAAAGGTCCATCATAGCAGAGCTCAATACTGTAATAAGGCTGTATACTCCATAGTGCGCCAAGTGCCATAGAGGATCCCAATGGTCACTTTACCTTTCGGCTCATTACCCTGTAACAAGTTAGCAGCTCTTTCACCTGATATGCCTAGGTTAGGGGGGGCCTATTAGCTGTTAGCCAGCAGGTATCCCCAGGCCTACAGGTTCAAACAAATCAAAGTCATGACCGGCTAAAAGCAGTGGTACGTGTTGTCACTTTTAATTGTCAATTTTAATATTCCGCTAGCCTTCACAAAGCTATTCTACAAACTCAGAGGTTCCACTGTTTTTTATGAACATTATTGAGTCAGATAAGGAGGTTAAAACAATATTTTAAAGAGATAGAAAGAGTCAAAAACCAGCTATTGATGAACATAAAGAAAATTTTCCTGATTTCTTTACTCATTCTCAATATTAACTATATGAATACAGCTCGATAGGTGATGAAAAAATTTTAATTTATGATGATAATATTTATGTGCCTATAATATTGGATCCCGAAAAACTACGAAATACATTATGGGATTTAATAAAAAGATCTAAAAAACAAATAGGAAGTATAATATCAACATCAACCAAGGGAATAAAACAAAATTTCCAAATAATTCGGCCTCTTGAGATTAGCCGTAATGGTATTATTTCTCCAACTAAACCCTAAACTACTTATTATTTTCGATTAGACTCTAGTAGTAAACTCAAGCCATTGAATAAAAACAAAGTGTATAATGTTAAACACACTAAAACTGCCAAATTTTTCACATCAACTTGAAGGCAGCTTAAAGTAGTAACAAAGTTACTAAACGAACAAGTAAAATATTACAACCCAAGTCATCAAAGGTAGTGATAGATTGAAATTGTCAGATTGTAATAGTTTAAGAAGTCGGAATACGGTCTGTCTGCTGAACAAATATTAGAAAGACGAAGATTGAAAACAAAACGAGAACAGCGTAAAAAATATTGTTCACCATCAAAAAATCGAAGAAAACAAAAAAAAAAAAAACAATTTGAAACAATTTGAAAAAATTTTCTTCAAATGGTAGCAGCAGAAGAATCAACAAAATAACAAGCCATCTTAGACATTGTTATCCATTTACTAGATTGACTGTATCATCTGCAAGAACATCAAAGTAAGTTTATATAAAACTATTAATTATATTCAGAAATTTGGACTAAAAGAATTATTAGTATATTATACCAGAGGGATTTTTTTTTTAGAAGGTAGTGAGAACAAATGATAATCTCACGCCTACCCTAACTAAACTCCGAACGAGAACAACGTTGAAAAAAAGTTCATTAAAAAAAATTGAAGAACAAAAAAAAAAAAAGAATAGAAAATGAAAAAAAATTACTTAAATATTTATAAATTTTAATTTCAAAAATTTTAAAAATCGAGTAATAATTGCCTTAGTATTTAGATAAAATTTTAATATTAGATAATAGGGTGGGTAAAATAATATATTATTTAAAGAGTCAAAAAAATATATATCAATTTCATCTAACTTGGATAAAATAATATCTTAAAAAATAACAACTTCCAAGATGTACACCACCGGCTCCGGAAGTGCCGCACGAACCGATCCGCACAATTACCATCAACACTGCTAACTTGTTGATGCCCGTGGAACATGACAGTAAAACTGTCGTCAAATTATGCGAAAATTATTATTAATTGTGTTCGTCATTTCGGTTTGTTTGTTTTTTAATAACCTGTTGTTGTTAAATAATATTCGCCCCACGTGTCACTACCCTCAAACCAGGATCGACTACATTATTAGGATGTACGTCCTTACATATTAGGGATATTACTCAAGATTTCAATCTATTGTAAAAATAAACTATTTATTACTAGGGTTATTGTAATTTTTACATAGTAAACATTCATTACTGTTAATTATTTTGATTATCATAACAAAAACAATATTTTCTACTATATTAACTCAGTATTATTATAATTGTTATTTTTTATTAAATATGCAATCAAAAGACAAAAAGAGTGGATGTTTTATTACTTTATGGCATTTTATAACAAGAAAAAAAAATACAAAGGATAAAATAAGAATACAGACCTTGAAGGAAACGCAAAAATCAGAACATTTTACAGATCTTAAACTCAATGAAAAAAAACAATTAGCTATTGAATCTACGGTTTAATAATAAAATTATTTTAACTATTTTTAAAGTAAAGTGTGAATTATACCTAGCAAATTTTCTAGGATAAAAAATTAGGTAACACAACATTACCTGCACAAATCATCTGTCCGGCAAAACAAGTTGAGATTAAAAATATTATGGAAAATGGTTTGTATTTTTTTAAAGCTGAGTTTGATAGTTCTAACATTTATATATTGACAAAATTTACTAAATAACAGTATGTACTATACCGCAAATAAAAGGATTGCTTACTTTTAAAATATATAATTGTATGAACTATGAGCTCTGCTTTAATGTTTTTGTATAGAACAATATTATTGACAACAAAATACAGTTGATTCTTGATTATTTTCTGAATTAGGAGGAACTCTAAATTTTACTTACGAGTATTTCAAAGTTTTCAATTCTCCAGATTAATAATAGTAAATATTCTAGTCAATGTAGAATATTTACAAGTTTACTTTTAATTTTTAGTATTCAAATAATTGTCGTTTTTTGTAAAAACATTTATAAACTGAATTTATTTCGGACATAAATTAGTATATCATATTTTTTGCCAATATAAAAAATTTGCTTTCAAAAATTCTTTATTTGCTTTATACTTTTCGCATTTTTTATATTACCTTTAAAGAGCGCGAATAATCCAGTGACAGTTATGAATATTAAAATTGTGTAAAATTTATTAAAACCTCACAATCGATTAATATTAACCAACAGTGTTAACATACCAATTCTTGGTAAGTATTTTAATATTTCATATAAAGTTTTTTTTTTAACCATTATTCTTTTTTTAAAAGGAGATGCAACATCTCAGCGATTAACGAAACTCGAAGGTAAAACATTATTTGACGTCTTTCTTAGTTGGGCAATGTGTAATATTTTAATATCAATATTTAATTTTATGTTTAGAATTAGTACATAGTTTAACATTAGAAATGGTTAAAATAAATAATGCTTCTCATTATGATGAAAAAAAAGGCAAAAAAAAATCTAAAGGAAAAAGTAATTTATTTAAAGTATTTTAGTTTTGATTCTATTAAAATAAAATTTTGTAATGAATATACAATATTTATATATATAATAATTTGTACGTTTTAGAAGGTTATAAAATATTTGATTTAAACTCGCAAAGAATAATGAAACTTGAAGGTAAAAATTATTTGATGTTATCATTAATTATGATAATTTATATTAATGTGTCATTTTATAGATGATTTTCAATTTATAAAATCGGAATTAATGGAGCTGAAGGAATCTTTTAATAGTTATGTAATAAAGAATGAAACAAAAAGTAAATAATAACTACAATTGTAAAAATAACTTTATTTGTAATGTTTTAGTTTTAAAAACATTGATACATTACTGAAGTTGCTTTTATTTACATTTTAAAATGTATAGATAATTACTTTTTTATAACTAGAATAAAATATTAAAAAGGGATTATTTGCATGCGACTAATTATATACTTACTATTCATTCTTCTTCTTCTTGGGTTTTTACGGCCACTAGGACCATCTCGTTAAACAACCAACCAAGACATTCGTTCCCCGACAGGATTCTTGTTGCTACTTCTTTTTCACTTTCATTTTTTTCGGTCAATACCGAACCTAAGTATATAAATTGTGTTTGACTCGATGAACTCATGGATACCCACTGTTGAAGAAGGATATATTCTCGTACTATGTCTTCTCTCCACCTCCATTTATTGGGTTTTGCCTTCATTTATTTTTAGCCAACCTTTTTTGCTGACTCCTCTAAACGGCCAAATAGTGTGACTTATTAATGGGGACCAAATCGTATACATAAACCAAGGAAGACTCTTGTAATTACATCTTCTCCTGTGGTCCGATGTTAGTTTATCTCATATTTTTTTCTAATACTGGATTAAATAGAACAACTGACCTGATTTTGCCAATATTGGGTTAACAATATTATTAAGAATTATTAAGAATTTAATTATCAAGAAAATAAGTTAATTATTAAGAAGATAAGAATTAGCATAATTTTAATTAATTCAATTATGATTATTTTCTTGACTAATTAATATAGTTGACTATATAATGGAAGTCGGTAAAAATTCGAATATTTCAGTAGCTTGCGATGTTGATCTAAACATAATTTGCCCCTTTCTTATACAAAATTGTTTTTTAGATAAAATTTTTGTGCAAGTTTAATAAAATATATAGTTTATTCATTAGAATATACAATATTTTAATAAATAATTGATAATATATTGTAACTAAATTAAAGATAAAATGTTTATTGATTTCTAACTATTACTGATATTTTTTTAAAATTAATACCTCAATCGTATTTATCAATTATAATGTCTGATGTTTAATCTAATGTAGATATTATTTAAGAAAATAATTGTTACAGGCCATATTCCACCACCACCACCGCCGCCGCCACCACCACCACCTTTTCCATTCATAGCACCAATGCCTCCATTAATTTTTAAACATAAAGGTAATGGTGATGATGTAAGACTAGAAAAGGATACCGAGACCAAAATTAAAAAAATATTAAAGGTAAATAAATTTGTCTACTAATTAATTATTAAGTACTCTAAACATATCTTTGCTTAAGTTTTTAATCCATACGAAGCATTAGATTTAAAAAAACTCTCTTTGTATTAGTTTTAATACGTTAAAAGGGTTGTAAATAAAATACATTATCTGATTAGTAATCAAGTTTAATGATATAATCCTGTTGATCTCAACGATATCTTAATATAAATTGTATCACATTTCTCAATAAATATTTTTTATTTCATGTAGCCAGGAAATATGCACAATGCAGATTTAATAAGAGAATTAAAAAACGGTGTGACATTAAAAAAAGTATTTATTTTCATAAATATTTATTAACTCTATAAATTACTTTTTTTATGTTTNATCTATAAATTACTTATTTTATGTTTTTTTTTTAATTTGAAGGTTAAACGTTTAGAAATAAAAAAGCCTCAAGAGGAAGACAGTGAGCTCGCCAAAATATTTTCTAAAAGAAGGATTAAAGATACCGACCAGCTATAAATAATGCCTCCCTATGCATAAAAAACATAAAAACCTATTGTTCAGTGTATTTGTATAGAAAAAAATTTTTTTTTTATATTTTTGAGAATTGAAAAACAATTTAATGGAGCAATGTAATATTTTCTTATAAATTAAATATATTATTGTATTACAGAGTGTCTTATTAAGATTTATTGTAATAATTATTAAGTAACATTTTTTTTAAAAATCGCAAATTTTCACAAAATTTTAACGCATATAATAAAGTTAAAATGGTTCTCGTTTAAATTTCGAAGATCGACTTTTTTTGATCCACCTAACATATATATATATATATATTATAGCCCAATAAATGATCTTTTATGTACATGCAGAATTCTATACCCTTAAAGGTAAAACGTGGTAAAGGTAAAAGGTGAATAGTGATTGATTGTAATTATATAAAGTTAACTGTTTAAAGACAGCCTGGCTTCAGTATGGCCTTTGTATTTTGTGAGTTGTATAATTACACATGGCCCATGTGGTTTAAACATAATGTTCACATAATCAGTATTTTAGAGTTCATTTCAGAACGACTTGACATATCAAATATTAACTGGATCAAATAATTAATTTAATAATGTACCAACAAGAGAAAACACAAAGAAAATAGTAGGGTAACGTGGGTATGACAGATCCAACGCATGGGTCAGGGTAAAATGGACATGTCACCAACGTCAATGGGTATCCCCTACATAAATGTAGGGGACCCATTGAGATGTTCACCATGTCCACCCTGACCACACCCAAGAACCTGTCAGGTCACGAAAGAATAATCAAAGAAACGGGAAAGACTTGACCATAATTAAAATTTATATAGTCAGTAACTAATACAAGAAGAGAAAAAAAAACATACCGTGTGGTTAGTTAACCAAAATAAAAGTTAACATAAATAATTTTACATGAGCACATTGTGCAAAGAAAAACAAAAAAAATCCAAAGGAAGATATACCATATTATTGTTGAGATGTCCAAATCGTGTGATCATTATATAGTGCCATCATGATGGCCAAGCTAAAATGACAAAATTCTACTCCATCCTTGAACTGGACGGCAACAGACAGCAAAATTTGAAAAAGATAATGATGTTAGGTCAAAAAGTGTAGATGTGTTGATGATGATGATGAGAGATTCTTTTAGCTTCGATGCGAAGCTGAGAAGTTATTGGTTTTACTAAGATGTGTTTTTTTTTTTTTTTTTTTTTTTTACCCNGATTGGTTTTTCTAAGGTTTGTTTTTTTTTTTTTTTTTGTATCTGTTACCACTTTTTCTCAGCTCTCACCGAACTTTTTCACAAAAAATTAATTTTTTCAACTTGATTTTTGAAATGTTCCGGAAGGTCTGACACTTTTATATATATCTTAAATTAAAGGTAATGTAATTTTCTTTATTATACAAAAAAAAAATTTCGGACTTTATTTTATCTTCACGGTGAAAATGGCTACCGAATGCTATTTTTGTGTGAAAATTTTCGATTTTATTTTTTACATTTTTAACTTTATAATGCTATGATATATTGAAAAGTGTATGGATCAACATAATTTTTTTATGAGAAATAATATTTTTTAATAATCCCTTTTTCATTCTACATACTTTATCTTAATTAGGATATTAATAATGAACTAGCAGATCATGTAGATTTTGGAATAGTCCATCAATTTTTTAAAATTAAACACTATCAAAAGATTTGCATCGAAGCGTTTTTTTTTTATAGTGATTTTAATCACTGTCAGATATCATTATACTTGATCCATCTATGCCACGTCACCACTGTGCCGTGACCCCCCTGTGCTGGGTTTTTTTATAAGTATTTTTTTCATAAAACGACTTATTTTATCACAAAATAACAAAAACTCGGTTAAGCTAAGGACCACCCTAATATATACCCTAATATTTGTATATAATCTGTAATGTTAAATAGATATTACCGTAGTTTTTTTGTTGGAGAACTGACTGATTTAAAGCGTTCATTGTATTTTATGACTATTAATTAAAATATGAATATAAAAGTATAATCAAAATTTTAAACTTATTCTTTCTTTAGATTGACACATAAAACTTAAAGTTTTTACCTTACAATAATTAATTTTTTCCATTTAATATACCTGTAATGAGAATTCCGTTGAAGAACAAATACTTTTGGATTCTGAAAGCATTAACTCAAAGAGTTGTTGATGGTTGTCATTTTCAGTTAATGAAAACCAACTACAAGGTGCTACAGATTCAGCTGATGTAACTGTAGCTGAAGATGTTGATTTGTATGGTAAATAAGACATTCTATTATCTGTTTTTAAACTTGAAACTATTAGAGTATTATTATTTGATTATATAAACAAAGGTTTGACTATATCTATGTGGCAAATGATGACTGAGCCATTATATCATATCTGTTATATAAACAAATTAATTAATTGAATTAAAAATTATATTGTTATATTATACTAATTATTATATGGTTTATAGCAATATTATAAAATTATATATAAAATATGTACTTAAAAAATACAATACACGTTATATTTTTGGTTTGACAGTATTGTTAAAGTTATGTTAATTTTAAAAATTACCATTGTCATTGTCACTTTCATCAGTTACATTAAACAATATATTTTGTGAGATAGGCTTTCCTTTTTGTTTATGTCTTAAAGTCATATTTTTTTCATAACCTGTTTCATTAGATGAATCTTCAATAATAACTTGTTGTATGCTTTATTAAAATGATCTGTAAAATAGTTATATATTAGTTATATTTAAAAAAATAGTAGGGATATAGATGAGCTAAAAATAATCGCTAGACATTATATAAATATGTATTAATTCTTACCAAAAGTTTTATTTCCATCATAAATTTTAACTCTATACATTTTCGAGGTTAACCTCCGCTCATCTGCTTTTTATATAACGTCACTGTTAACAGTCCCTGGAAGCCAGTATCAATAATTTACTTGAGTTAATTTTTGTACATTTTTTGTGACCCAATTCGTTGGTACAACACTGTATTCATTGTGCTCATTGAACAACACAATAAGCTATTTAAGGGAACCCTATACAAATATTTAATAATTCGTTAATTTAATATCTTAAGTGTACATCAGACACCAATTGTTAATATTATTGTCAAAATAAATTGAAAAAACCATTAAATGTTACTTTAAATACGTTTATAAATTTTATTAAGTTTTAATAAATACATTTTTAAAACTTCATTTATGTCCTTCGAAAACCACAGCTAACCCGGAGTGTCAGCCGAGTTCGGTGACTGCTGTACGACAACACGCACGTGAATACCTAGACGGCAGACACCACATCCTCATCTTTATATTCGTACACATTACATTACACTTCCTACTTATTGTGTTACGACAACAGTTTGGTCATGTTACGAGGAGAGAAGAATCGGAAGCTGTAAGAATAGTTAGAGAAATGAATGTTGAAGGAAAGAAGGGTAGAGGAAGACCAAAAAAGAGATTGAGGGATGTTATTGAATGCGATATGAGGACAGCTGATGTGAGCGTAGATGAAGGAGGAGATCGTGTCAAGTGAAGTTTAGGATAAGGGTGGCCGACCCCAAGTAGTTGGGATTAAAGCGAGGAAGAATAATAATAATAATTTTATTATTCCCTTATGCATAATTGTTTATTAAATACATATAATTTTAGTTATCTTATTTGATTTAGTTAATTTTTTGGATGCAAGAGAAAAAAGTAGGCTTACTGAAGATACATCTGATTTAGATGGATTGTCATCGAAACGAAAAAAAGTAAAAATAAAATGTAATTCTAATCGGTCTGAGAGGTCTACTCCTAATTCATCACCTGAATCTGCTGATCTAAAAATTGAAAGTGATTGCTCTTTTTTTTCTTCTGAATCTGATGATGGTAATTATTTAGCTAGTAGAAATTAATTTAACAACTCATTTTTTTAAATTTATTTTATGTAAGACCGCCAAAACTAAATGGTTCAAAATTTCTTTTACTTTCTAATATGTTTTTTTAGCTAATTCACCAAATATGCATAATTTTTTACCTCCCAATAAAACATTAGTCACATCAAAAATATCATGCACCTCATATTCTACAAAATCTAAAAACATAAGTATGGCTCATAATATTTTAATAAGTTTATGAATTAGATAACTAATTAAAAGTTTGTTTTTAGCTGAGTCTTCAAAAAGACGCAATCATTTACAATTTAATAATAATTTTATTGAATCGCCATCTAAAATAATACACAGCACATTTTAGGTTGAAGAGATCACATAAAAAAAATTAGGTATGCATTCTGATATATGTAGGTGTAATTTATTACACCTACCTATATCATTAATTGTAAGTTCAATTAATAATATAAATAATAGTAATAATAAAAGTAATCAATTAATTACAATTTTTGTATGATTATCTACTTATTCAATACTATTTTATTAGTAAAATATATTAAAGTAAAACATTTTTATTTAAATAGTTCCTCAGGAGTGATCTCTTTCACTAAAAAACTTGACACGGCTTACGTGGCAAAAATGTGGTCGACACTGGTTTTTAGGGTAGAGACCTGTGGCCCGTTTATTAAATGAGCGACAACAGATTATTTTAACAAAAATAAAACAAACCGAAAAGATGAACACAATAATAATAATCTTCGCATAATATCGCGGCACTTTCGCTGGCGTCGAAGACGCGATGTCCGGCGTGATCCTTGGACGGCAAATGGTTAGCAGCGTTGTAGGCGACGGTGCGCGGGTGCGGATCGGTTGGTCGACATTGTCGCTTTCACAACGGGAGGATGACTCCCGCACCATTTGCGGCGGGTCGTCGTCGGCCGTGCGACATTTGCTGACTTTGCACCGTAGAGTATAACACGCGGTGTTGGTCAGTCAATTACTCATAGTAAGGCGACGGCTGATAAAGGTGGCACGAGTCGCAGGGCATCGTGTATAACGAAGCGACGCGGGCCGTGTCAAACTACAAGTGATATATGATACAGGATTTATTTTATCATAGATACATTGATTTATTTTCTCAGAATTATACACGACTTTTCGAATTTTCATTAATTAATTAATTGTACTCTTAGAGTAACGAAAGTGCATTTTTTTTTGTTTCAGATCAGATAAGTTCTCATAAACATAGTATATTAAATATTAAATTAAAATTTTGACATGACATTTATATTACTTTTACATTTACATTACATACATACAATGTATAATTTACATACATTTGATATAAAAATCTTTTTAAAACTTTTTGCAATCTGTTTATAAATAATTGACAGTTCTTTGTCTTAGATCAATAATATTTGGTATATAAACTTATTCTGTTTCTTAAGATATGTTTTTTTAGTAATTACTATAATTATAATTTTTACTGCAAAATACGTTCTTACAGTTATATTAGTATAGTAACGTCTCACAAACGAAAATAAATTTAACCCCTTTTCTCATTCTACGAAACCAGTGATTTGATGAAATAACGTTAGAAAAAGAGAAATACATATAATATACTACATATTGTGATAGTAAAAGGTAAGAAGAGTTAGACACCTATTATATTTAATATAATTTATCATTGGATTACCGATTAAAAACTACTTATATTAATTGTGCCACAAAAATTTTAATAATATGCCTGTTGTAAAAAGTGCACATATTGTCGTATGCTCGTGCATGGTAACAGCCATAATTTTGGAGTATTATATGAATATTTGTACAATTATATTAAATTCCTTTTAATGTTAAATTTAATGTTAAGGTTGCAACGTTATATAAATATGAACTTTTAGTTCACAAAACATTTATGACATATTTAACCTATTTTTATAATCGTTTAAAGTTGATTTTTGTAAATTTTTATAATAAAAAAAAATTTATTTATTTATCCATAACAGTAGTATATATATATATGGACGAATAAACAGTAGCGTTGGGTGAGAACAGAGAATTATGGCAACGCAAACAGTGAAGTTAGCCGCTCACTGGCCGGAGGGACTGGGTATGAGAACAACCCCCTCACAAAAAAATCATTTACCAAATGACAATGGCACAGAACGGAATAAAGGTTTCTGCTTCAGGGGATTCGGATACCCCAGTTTCGGTGGTCTGTGTGAGGTGTACCCACCAGGTGTCGTTAGCAAACGGATACGCGCCAAATGCAGGAGTTTTGAGGCAGGCTCCTGCAGCCAACCACGGGGTTGATACTGCGACTGCAGGGAGTGATGGTAACCAAGCCATTCCCACCGGTGAAATAGCCGGGAGGCCATTGGCAACAGACTGCTTGGATTCTGAAACGGACTTAACGACGGCCTCTGCCCTAGATACGTTAGCAAAAATGTGATAACACAATTTAAGGTGTAACATAGCTCTTTTAAACTTTTTTAAATTCTCACAGTTATATCGTTATTTTTTACCTTTGTGCAGTGTACCTCAGTTACCTACCTACATAAAGCAAACACCGATGTTTTCAATGAATTAAACCAATCTTTCCTTAAGTTTACCAAAGTTTTTCTTTGGATTAATACTGTACATGGATACAAGTTGGTTGTTTTCATTTTTATTTATTCTTATCACATCGATTCATTCTACCTAATATCAGCTGTTTTTATTTACTTTCTGGAGACTTTAACGGTCGGTAACACGGTATCTTAATTTTACCTCAAACATATACGTATTCCTATTTACGCTATTAATTTTTAAAATCATATAAACTATTAACTCTTATAATTATGGAGGAGCAACTTGCATCCATAACAAAAACATTAAATGATATCAAATCAACGCAGAATAAGTTGATTCAATCGTTCAATGACCAAAATAAAACAATAAAAAACTTCAATAATCGTTTTGACGATCTTTTGAATCAAATAAAAAAAATAACTGATGAAAATATTCTATTAAATAATAAGGTTACTCAACTCGAGCTCAAGATCAAAAATTTTGAACAGAATGCTACATCAACATCTAATACAACCCATTTTGATATAATTAACGAAATTGCTGATAGACAATCGAGAATAAATAATATTATTCTGTTCAATTTGCCCAAACCGACTGAAACTAAACCTGATAGTGACCAAATGAAATTAATTCTTGATGAAATGGAACTAAAAATCCAACCTGTTAGGTGTTTTCGCTTGGGCAACCCTTCTTCTCGAACTCGTCCATTGAAAATCACGTTCAACGATACTAAAAATGTATTTGACATTTTACGAGCGCAATCCAAAATCCGTTCCTCAAATCAATTTAAAGAAATAAGATTCTCTTCGGATCGCACTATGAAACAGCGTGAACAGATGTCAAAGCTACGGCAAGAACTCGAATCTCGTCGCAACAATGGTGAACAAAATATTATTATTAAATATATTAAAGGTAACCCAACTATTATTAATAATCCAAAAAACTAAATCGCACTTCATGTACTTTATCAATATATTATCAAAATGTTCGTGGTATAAATACCAAATTAAATAAATTAAATTCATTTATTCCATTGTCATCTTTAGATATTTTTACCTTTACTGAAACATGGCTCACAAATAATGTAAATTCTTCGGAATTAGGCTTTAAAAATTATAATGTTTTTCGATGTGACAGAAATGTTCTCACAAGTAATTTATCTAAGGGTGGTGGAGTACTTATTGCTGTTAAATCTCATATAATTTGTAAAATTTTAAATGTTACTGTTAAATGTATTGAGCAGATTTTTATTCAAGTTCAACTAGGAGCTAATATATTTATTATTTGCTGTATTTATATCCCGCCCAATTCACCTCTTACTCTTTATGAACAATTTTTCCTATCTATTAATGAACTTTACTTATCTAATCCTAAAGCCAAATTTATATTATTAGGTGATTTTAATTTACCCTTATTAGATTGGTCATTTTATTCTTTACCATTAATTTGTAATTCTCAAATCGATTCTTATTTTGTTAGCATGCTATCACACTATAATTTTAATCAATTTAATTTTATACGCAATCACAGCAA